ATTTGGAGAAATGGCAAGATTGAATGTAATTAAAATTTCATTAGATTAGTTGAAAAGATTGCATGTAATTGAATCTTGAATACATAGGAGTGATTAGGAATTTAAATGAATTAAGTTTAAGGAATGATGGGTAATATTTCATAGTTTTATGGATTAACTCTGTTTAGAATGAGTATGACCTAACATTACATGTATACCATATACGACCTAACATTACATGTATACCATATACTAGTTTGTAATATTTAATTAATCACTTAAGTGTATATCTATATGCTAGTTTGTAATATTTAATTGGTCGAGTAAACTATTTTAGAATAGTTAGATCTGAGGGTCTAAGCAATCTGTAACTTAACACTGCTAGATTGGTATATTAAGAAGTCAAGGGGGGGTTACATAAGGGTTCATACGGCTGAGTTGAATTTAATTGGCCATCCCCAGCGTGACCGGAATTAAGGTCAGGACAAGCATTGACAGTTTATGTAAACATAAGTTAGCTAACAGAAGTTACTGCGGCAGAATTTATGCCTTTTGTTTTCTGAGCCGAATTAATGTAAAATATAGATATACTTGGGAATGTGACCTATTGTCTATTGAGAGACATTTTTATTTATTGAAGGAAACAGCTTTCCTGGATTCACATGAGAAACCCCTGAACAATCACAGGACCAGAACAAATTCTACGCAGAAATCTAAGTCCAGAGACAATTGTTAAGTCAGAGTTCGACGGACAAGAGTCCAAGACGAAAAAGCTAGACAAAGATCGACAGAGCAGGGACGAACGGAAGTCTTGATGTCTGCATAAATTAGGTGATGAAGTCTCTCATCGTTACACTCAAAGGTCACATCTCATTGGCAATGAGGATAGCAATTTAACGTTGAAAGTAATTTTACATTTGAAGAAATTTGTATTGTCTTTTTTATTTGAGTACATGTTAGTACCATTTCTCCTTCTTTTGTAACTAAGTCAATGATTTCTTTTCATTTTAAATTCTGTTGATAAACTGATTAAATTTTATATTTGTTCATTGAAAGGGGGCTCGTTTTATTATTTCTTCAATATACTCGTTCAGTGATCTGCATTCTTCCTTCTATCTATCCACACTGGGTAAACTACACCGCGGAGGTCATTCCCTAGCAACGAACCGTAGTGAAAGAGGTTGGTGTTTTGCACGCCGCCAATCTCTCTCTCTCTCTCTCTCTCTCTCTCTCTCTCTCTCTCTCTCTCTCTCTCTCTCTCTCTCTCTCTCTCTCTCTCTCTCTCTCTCTCTCTCTCACATGAACACCTGCATTCACTTTCATATTGACATATAAAGATACATATTGGTAGGAGAGAGAGAGAGAGAGAGAGAGAGAGAGAGAGAGAGAGAGAGAGAGAGAGAGAGAGAGAGAGAGAGAGAGAGAGAGAGAGAGAGAGAGAGAGTATGTACCTGAAAAGATGACAGAAACGAAGATGACAGACAAAACGAAAGCAAGAAAGATAGTGATGAGTGAAAAGGAAAATTAAGATAAATGTTTTTATTAATAGAAATAAGTAAAATTCAAATGACTAGTTGTAGATACGATATATTATGTGGCAATTACTAAACAGCTAAGTCGTAAATACGAAATAATTACATTATAACTCTTTATAAAATGCTAGGCAATCATAGTTACGAGATATCTAATTATAATGAGATATCTAACTAATTATTGGGAGATACTAAATCGGTATTACCAGAAAAAAATAATGATTTCTGCGTGGCACCAACAGGCTTCTATAGAAATCAAAGCATCGTAAACAAGTGTTCACTTAATTTGCTTTTTGTTTGTTTAAGTTGTTTATTTTGGTTCTTTTTCTTCATGGTGGGTTTGAGTGGCGGCGTTTGAAAAATAATGTGGTGGTATGTACGTCATAAAAACATGAATTGATAAATGTTCACAAATTAATATTTTATGCCAAACAAATTTATCTCCTATCTAGAAGTCGACTCGTCATCGTTTTTTTTATACTTTTCAAATTCAGAATTTTAAAATAAATAAAAAAGAACAAATATGTATGTGATATACTTACAACATAATTATATGAAGAGTGTGTCTGTATGTATATTTTGGATTTTTAACGTAGCTTTAACAATAGTTCAGTCATATCGCTACGATGTCTGCAGTGTGACAGTTTATAGTGATATCTAGCACTGAAGCATCATGTTGCAGACATGTAGCATGATGTCCCACCCATTCTCGTTATCCTGACAGCAGGCCGATCTGTCCTAATACTAACCTTTTAATGATGAGAGCCAAGCGAAGTAGTTTGTACCATTTTTATGTCTTTAATATGACTCAGCAGTAGTTCAAACCCACGACATCCCACATGCGAAGCTAACACTCAATCCACTAGACCACCGGAAGCAAGGCAGCTGCGAGTACCATTTTTATAAGTCTTGGGTATGATTCGACCGGACTTCGAACCCGCGGCTTCCCACATCCGAGGCGGACGCTCTAACCACTAGGCCACTGGAGC